GTGATGGTGGCCAAAAGAGAGGCCCTGCGGGAGCGCGAACTCGCCAACGAGACGCTGCCGCCCCGCAGGGCTCCAGTGAGGGGCCGCCGGCGTGCGAGGTACGCCGCGGCCCTACAGGCTAATTAGTATAGAGCCACGCGCGACGGGTCGGGGGACCTGTCGCGCCGATTGTGGCGGATGGCCCTCCTCTCGTGTTCGGAGGAGGGTTTCATCATAGGGTGATGGGAGGGGTCTAAGATATGACCCCTCCCTACACGAGTCGAGCCCCTACCAAGGGGCTCCCTCCTAGCCGGGCCGTGGATAAACTAACGTAGATACCACGGTCCGGTTGGGCGTAGGAGAACACCGCGGGGTTTAGTGGGTAGTCCGGTCTTGTTCCCAGGCCGGGAGTCCCACACGAAACCGTCCCTGCTGCCCCCGCAGCACGGACGGCGAAGTGCATAAACGCATTCCCAGCGTTAACAAAAAAAAAAAAAAAAATCTAGAGTAAGTGAGAAGAGTAATTATAGATTTAGAAACAGTGCGGTTTCTTACTTTTATCAGTTACTAGCTGTTGCCCGCGAATCCATTCGCGCGGAATTAAATATATATGTATTAAAAAAAAAAATACATAAGTACCCTATGTGTTCTTGCACACTATGTTCTACATCTGTGCCAAATTTCATAAAGATCCGCTGAGCCGTTCCCGGGATACATACGTTTAAACAAACATCCATCCATCCTTCCATCTAAACATTCGCATTTATAATATTGGTAATAATTTGTAAGATAACATAGTAAGATACAATCATGGGCAACCGATTGCACTAACGATAGCTACCTGTGAACAACACGCTGTAACATTCAGCTGAATGGAAATTATTATATCTTTTAATGTTCAAATTAAGCCACTTACATATTAATAAGCTTAAGTATCCGTTCATGCAACTTCCTTACAATAGAGTACAAGTTTCGAACAAGAAGATTTTATTCATCTACATATAAAAATCTTATAAAGTTTACGTTTCTGGTACTTTGTTGACATAACATGAACAATTATGACGTAAGCTGTCACAGTAATTTATATTAAGTAAAAATATTAGAAAACATGATGAAGTCGTTAGCTCTGCTAGTGGTGCTAAACGTGGCGTGCGCCGAGAGCGCGGCTGGCAACAGGACGACTTATGGGTTTTTCCGGGAGGTGGTGCGCGGCTCTGGCAGTGGGTCCGGCGGCAGCGCGAAGGGCGCGCGGCGCGTGTTCGGCGGCGCCGCAGCGCAGTTGAGCGAGTTTCCGACGGCGTGCGCGCTGCTGGACCGCTACTTTGCGACGCGGTGCTCGGCGGCCGCGCTGGCGTCGCACTGGGCGCTCACCGCAGCTCACTGTATATCTCCGCTGGTCGCCTACGTCAAGTACAACACTCGCCGCCCGTCGGCGGAGGAGGGCGACGTCTCGGCCGTCCAATACCTCTACCGTCATCCCGAGTCAGTGTTCATTGATTTGGAGTCATTTTAAGCCACACTTTTTATGTCTTGATTTTATCTCGTATCGTATATCGTTTTTTTTTCTTTTAAGGAAAGGATAAGAAGTGGAAGCGAAAAGGGGACGGACAGGTGGCTTGCTCGTTTGCCACATTAAACGATATAATGTTTGCGATTATAACATAGATATGTCCTTTTGTGTGAGTCTTGTAGTTCGATATATATTTTTATGAATGAAAATAAAGATGAGGTATGTGGCGTGCAGGTACCGCGTGGTGCAGGAGGACGAGGGCTACGGCATGGACGTGACGGTGCTGCATAACGACGTGGGGCTGGTGCGATCGCGGGACGAGCTGCGCCTGCGCGCGCCCCTACCACGCGACGCCCTCGCAGCGCTGCGTAGATACGATCCCGGCAACTTAATGGATGCTGAAGTTCATGTAATTGAAAATATTATTTAAATTTCATCGTCATGTTTGAAGAGTTTCTTCAGTAATGTTTAATTTGTCACTACAAATCCGTAACCGCCGCCGACCTACGGATCGGAGAAGAGCAAGGATTAATCCTGCCCTCTAAAGTAAGCAAGTAACTACAGTTAAAGACCCTGGCCAACAACTATAACTATAACTGGTGCTTACTTATAGTTCGTAATGAACGTTTCTTCATCCATTACTCACTCAGTCGAATATTTTTTGTGGTTCTTTAAAATTAAGGTAAGATTACTTGTATGTACATAAATATCATTTTTGTCAAAACACTTAAATAAGTGAAGTAATTAACATCCATGTGAGTAAATCTGTTCGTGGAAGATAAGAAATAACAAAAAAAAAGAAACACGTGTACAATCATGTTGTGGGAGATTCAGATGTATTACGGCACTGCTTTTAGTATGTTGCTTTTAGCATGTTGGTTGATATTATGGCTCTCGTATCTCAGAGGTCAATCCCATCAAATCTCATAACAAACATTTTGTATAACGCACACGTCGCAACGTCCGACTTTACCTGTTTTGCCCGCTAATGTCGTGTCAGTCATGAAGACATTAGCTCGTTCAAACAAACTCCCAAATTTTGTTACATGAGGGGTAAAATTATCTTTTCAATTTCTCGTGCGGTTACATTTGTTTCGTAAAAATTATATCACTTTTTTTTTTTTACATTTTTTTATATTGTATTTTTAAATAGAATTCTAGTAGTCCATCCCATAGATACTTTTGTCCATTTCCTCCGCACTAAAATCACCTAAATGTTAAGAGATCTAATATAATAGCGAGGTGACTTATATTTTTATTTTTAAGAAAAAGAAAAGCGTGGACCAATTGTATTTTCTGTTTATGAAACTGCCTTCTAAATTAAATTAAATATTTGGACGTAAGTTAGACATAATATAGTGCAGTATGATAAGCGGTGAATCACGTGTGTTGGGGTCGCAGGTGCTGGGCTTCGGGCGGTCGGAGAGCAGCGCGCTAGGCGAGGAGATGTGGGGTGCGCGGCTGCGGCTGGCGCGCTGCGGCCGCGCCACCTGGTACCACGTGGTGTGTGGCGCGGGAGCTGTCGAGCCGGTGGGCGCGCGGGCTGCGGGTGAGGGTGCGGTGGGCGGCGTGTGCGCGGGCGACTCGGGCGGGCCGCTGCTGTTCGGGCGCACGCAGGTGGCGGTGACGTCACTTGGGCCGCGCGAGTGCGGGCCGGCGGGCGGCGCGGGGGATCCGCCGTTGGGCGCGCTCAGCGTGTTCACCACGCTGCGGCCGTACGTGGACGTGCTGAACGCCACGATGACGGACACGGATGCAGAGCTGCGCATGCGGATGATCTCCGCCGCCCCGCGCCCCTCCCGTACTCTAATGTTTGTCGTTTATATAATGTATGACACTCTATCGTACGCTTCAGTTACGTAATGGTGACTTATTATTTTTAAATACATATTAATATTATGTTTGTATCTGTTGTTGAATTTCTTACCCAAAATTCGATGGATGTAGGTGAAAGAGTCCGCAGAAAAGAGGGGTAAGGGAATTATGCGTTTCGTGGGACAAGTGTGGTGAAGGTGATATCTACACTGGGCACTGATCGCCGCCGAATAAATATATAAGACATATTCTCAAGCGAAAATTAACGTCTTATTATAGAATAGTTATTATTCGACAGAGGGCATTGCATTGCGACGCTCGACTAGTCCTGTCGCCAATTCAAATTTCCAAGCGATATTCCTTAAATTCATATAATAAATCTTAAAAACCCCTCAAAGGTTACAATTCGTTTTATTGCTTTTTTTTAACTTTGAAACTGAATATAGCCAGATATGAGAGTAAATAAGACTAGTGATTGGTCGCCGCCTCCAGCTCCGGCGTCGACGCTAACTAACAAACCAACTATCAAGTAATTTTACGGCTGAGTGACATCCATTAAGTGTTTGCTGATGTTCGTGTGAGTTTCGGGGTCGGCGGACACCAACTTTGTAGAAACATCTTCGTGTGAATGTACTCGTATTATAAATAAAGAAAGTATATCAATACCCTCATATCTTACCCTCACGCTAATGAGCGGTATATATTTTTATGCAAATTTATGATTTATATATTTAATATATTTATCCGACGTTCTTACGGTGAAGGAAAACATCGTGATGCAACCTGCACATATCTGAGAAGAAATTCAAAGATATGTGTGAAGTCAACCAACCCGCACTGAGCTAGCGTGGTTGACTATGGCCTAATCACCCTTAACTTAGGGTAGGCTCCGAGTCCCTCGGTGGGGACGTATACTGAGCTGATGATGATGATATGATTTATAACTAATATTATAGTTGCGAAAGTTTAGATGGATGGATGGATGTATGTTTGTTAGAATGTATCCAAAGAACGACTAAACGGATCTCGCTGAAATTCGCCATGGACGTACGTAATAAAACTTGTAGCCTATGTTCTTTCACATTACGTTGTACAAGTTTTATTTTCATTCAGCGCGGACGGAGTAACAACTAGTACAACTGCATATTATATAAGTCCAATGGGATTATTGCCCGGTGTGCGGTGCGGTGCGTTGCGGTGCGTTGCGGTGCGGTGCGGTGCGGTGCGGTGCGGTGCGGTGCGGTGCGGTGCGGTGCGGT